AGTGAAAGTGTCATATTTGCATGTGTATCATGTGTGGGTTCGTCTCACGTGCTAGCACCATTTTGCTGCATCATGGTTTGTGGGAAACAGCATCATACGGCATCCTTTCAAATAAACGCTGTCATGATTGAAATACATCTGATAGTCCGTACAGGTGTTGTTCATTTTTTCTCCAAAGTGAACCGTTTCCATCAGGTTTGTTTAATCGGAACAACTGCTCACAGACTTTACACATGCTTATCACACATTTCGGTGGAACACAACGTTACGGTTTATCGTCATGTAGCGTTTGCATGTTTGTTCTGTCCAAACATAGATAGCCAGCTATCTCTAAATAGAATTTCCATCGAGGACTGATGTGCCACATATCGCACATAATTAGGATGTGGTTTTTAAACATCTCAATGTCAGTGTTCAGCATCCTCAAATTAACTTAACTGTACAGAAACATTTCAGCAGGTTTGCTTTATATAACACTAAGAGCCGCACTTTAACCAATCAGTATTGTGTAGTTACTAATATCCGTGGTGATAATTATGATGAAGAGGGTGGAGGAAGAGATGGGATTGGTGAAGGGAGTAGAAGAGCGGAAAGTCAAGAACAATAACAGGAACGAAACTGAATCTAATAAAAAACTTGTGATGGACATCGTTTCTGATGTATTTTAGTTTTACTGCTCACGTTTATTGTTGGTAAAGTCTTCGCTTACTCCTCATATTCAGATTGAAGAAACCACCACTTCGGATATCTATGAGACTCCTTACGCCTCTATAACCCTGGAGGATGAATCAGAATCCCAACGCCTCGGCTGGCAACCAAACATTGATCAACAAGTCAACTGTCATTCCAGTATCACGTCGGGAAATGTTGACGGTGCTGACAAAGTCGTGATATCGCAGAACTTGACCAGTACGCCAAAGAACTGCGCAACAGCGGCACTACCACTCTTTGGTTGTGCTAGATCAAATGAGTCCAAATTACCAGCGAGTGATTTTAATACGTTCAGCCCTCTGTTCACTTCCTCTGGCCAGTGGAATGGAACTTGTCCTTCACTATCTTGTCCATTGTACCAAATGCCTGTTTACTCGCTGGCTTCTCAGTTGCAGCCAACTCGAACTGCAGCTGTTCATCAGTTTGGGGTACCAGCTCTTCCTGTTGAATATCTGACACAGAACCTTAATGTGATGGAATGGGTAGTGAAGAAGCGGTCAGACGGAAGTCGGTATATAACACGCCGTCCAATCAGGTAACATACCCCCAGTGCTTTGAAACATATTTTACCTAAGACTCAATGACAAAAGAACTTTGAGCTTTGACTAAATTTGAGCTACAGACAGAAACAGCCCGTTCAGACGAACCAAGCGCCCTACCGGTTCAGCTACGTTACCATGCCGAGGGTTTATAAATTTCACATTTGAGCTTGGTCACTCGTTTGTCCTTCTGTTTCACATGAAATCCACTAAATGATTTAAATATCAACTATCCATACGTGATTTCTCAAACAGTTCACGCCGGATTTCACGAATACCACTGTTGAAAACAGGGAATGCATCAATTACATGTGTGATTGATTCGGTCAGAGTGGTCGTCACGATTGAGCATGCTGTTTTCGTCGTTGGTTCGAATCAAACTGGTGCCCCGAATTTTTGCATCTCCACAAAATCCGTAAAATTAGTAGTCAGTATCCAATGTGTTTCTTTACTGAAGTCCTCATTCCCAGACGAGCTTTAATACTCTAACGCTTCAACAAAACGCGCCAAGCTATCGAGTTGGCGTGGCGTAATACCAATTTTTCAAGTTAGATAACTTAATGCACTGGCACACAGAATAGGATGTTCGCATACATATAACGTCAGAACTTTCAGAATCTCAATTTTGTTTGAAAAAACACGTCGGCCCGTACTATCTTCATTAAGGAGTAAAACAAACACCCACTTTCATGACAGTTCCTGGTTCTTAAACTGATATCACTTTCCACGACATCAAGGTTCCTCAACTCTCTTAAAGTGAGAATTGCCCCTGCTCTTATCTGTTACGTTTTGGACTAAGAGTTCCTACAAACAACCAAACTCTGAGTTGGGGCACCGGGTAAACTAAAGCAACATCTTTCTTTGCTATGCAACTATCTGCTGCTCTTCAAACCAGAGTAAACAATATTCTCTCAAAATAATGTAAGTTCAATTGTAACAGTTCGAAGGAGCGTTCAACCATTCTTTAGTTTGCCTAACACACAAGGTAGGTGGGTTTTTCGATTGGCAATTAAATTTCGAATTCATTGGTCCACGGTGTTGTGCGATGTTCTCAGTCATTGGATTTTCTTGCACTTCAAACCTCTGTCTTGTGGTCTGCCGTGTTGTAAGATGAGTGAGTGCCCGATTTCTGCTTTTTGGCTGCCCCAAACTAGTATCGTAAGATTGTAGGACGGATCGTTGGCTTACAGTGCTGTTATCTGTGTCATGTGTCTGTTTAGCAATTCTTTCCAATTTATTGCCGATCGACTTAACAATTCAACCAGCTTCCTACAGAAGTTGAAATGTTCCAAAGGAATGTGGGTACCAAATATCACAAAAATGTGATCAATCTGACGAAATAAGACAACGAATATCAAAATGGAAAATGTGATCAATCCGGGAACGACTAAAACGAGTTGCAATTGAATACAAAGTGTATTTTGAGGTATGCTACTATTAAAAATAAACGTCAGTAAATTAATGACGCATGGAATATAAACAGATGAGTTACTTTACGGAATCTCCATTTCCTAGCAGCTGTCACCGACAAACTATGATAAATCGGTATTTTACTATTCGACTTATTCCCATTTCTGTCGAACTCAAAGTTCCCAATTTCACACATCTTACTCCATAGTGACTATTATCGAGTGAAGAAAGCAATTTCAAGATTTATTCATTCACAAATTCTCTTAGAAAATACGCTTATTTTTGCGTATTCAGCGAACTGGTCTTTCGTACGCAAAAATTTTTAATTCTTTTTCAAAAGGGAACTTCTTAAGCCACGACTTCGTTAGGAAAATAGTGGGAGATTAGTAAAAGCCAGTTGGTGAATACATATAATTGACACCCAATAATGTGGGCAACAGAAGCAAATTGTGGGTTGGTTTTCAATCGAGTTTCAATAATCTCAACCCGACTAATTATACTTTGTCGTCATTTTACATTGATCATCATTTTTGTACACGAAAATCTGTAAACTTCATGAACACAAAGACAAATAAATCATTCACGCTGTGATCTAACAAAAATTAAAGATAAACAGGGATTGTTTGTGTAACGGTCGCTTTTGGAGCATCGTGCTGTACGGAGTTTATTTAAATAATAAACATCAATGGGTCATATCACCTATAACCCGAGTGTCATTCGGCTGTGGGTCAACTCGTTTTAACGCACAAACTACTTGACTGCTTTCAGTAGGCTTCGATGGTATTCCCAATTTTATACAAAGTGTAAGCTACAAACTACATTGTGTAGTCTTTTCAAATGTATACTCCCGATTCCAATTTGGCATTTATTGTGAACCATTTTAATGTTCAATGACTGTGTGGCTATCTTAGTCGCCGCAGCTGCAACCAAACTTTTCCGTTCGTGTTATGTATCTATGCCTTCTACTGGATACCTGATATGAACGCAGGCCATCGTCGACAGCTATGTATGCGACAACCCGACAACCTCGGGAGTACGAAATTATCTCAAGTACATTGCCACGCTCGCCAATCTGTACAATGAGTTTGGCATTTCACACCATCCACACATTGGATTAGTTTCAGTATAGACGGGCGCAGTGCAACAAGGAAGGTTTTAGGTCTTTTTGTGTGCACTCACAGCATCAAAAGTGCCGCGAACTAAACCACAGAGTGGGTGGTCCATATATAAATACCTCCGGTTACATAAACGAAGTTTGTCTACTTCCATCCTACTATGCAGTGACTATTTTGTGAATTCTCTAAGGATCTTAGTTGCAGTTGCGCTTTTCTGTACGTCTGTTCTGTATGCATGCTTTTGTGTATGCTTTCCACAGGAGGCCTGATAATAAATCAATGCCACCGCCTTCAGTCGTGCGACTAATTAAACGCAGAGAATGCGTGTCACCTTCCGGCGACCCATCCATTATTCCTTTCTTCGAAGTCATTCCATCCACATCTTTTCTAGCGTCGAATAACGTCCACGAAAGATTAAAGCACTTTCTGCTTGGCGTGCTTTTGAGCAAATTAGAGCACATGTCGAGTTTTTTCTCTTTTCCCGACGGCTGCCGATGCTTCCAGAACAAGTTACACCCAACTGCCTGTCATATTCGTGAAAATCGCTGGAAATATGTGGACTGGCTCCAAACCCTACTGCATTTTTTAAAGACATGTTTGTTGGTACCACAGTTCGAACGCTGTTCATGCTAAAACTTCTAAACGGTTGTCTACTACATCATCAGTAATGTAAACCTGTCTGAACCGGACGCTCAATTTTGATGTCCTCGATCATTGTTGGCTGTTAACCTGATTGAAACACCTTCTTACTGCAAAATACTTATTTGCGGTTGTTAATTAGTTGTGCTGAAGCGGTCCAGCAGGCTAATATTCAGTCTGTTTCCGGTTATCAAAACACGTATGACAATGAGAGAAATCACTCAGACCCTTGGAAAATGGAGTGCACAGAGAAAACACGTCAAATTAGAAGGGCAAGCAACGAGTTCTCTTTATCTCGAAACTGAAAATTACAAATCAACAGCTTGACAAAAACAAAAGTGGGCTAGAAATCGAAAGTGCTAAAACGAAATAATGAAGTGCGACTATCAAAAATATATCCTAATTTAGTCGCTACAATTGTATTTGGGCAGCCTCATCATCTCAAAGTTACATTAACTATACTGTCGTCCTGCGGCCCTGGAACTGTCAACAGTGTTTTCTGGAGCAGTTAACGGCCGATAAGTAGTTGGGTGCTGGGATGTTGTAACAACGATATCGTTAGTTGAGACCCAATTGTGAAAAGTCAGGGCTTCGGCTCGATTCGAACCAGCGACAGGAACACTATGCCTCAACGTGGCAATAGCTCTACCGGCTGAGCTACGAGGCCACACCAGGGGCTCGGAAATTTCACATTCGGACTCGGTTACACACCCATTCCACTGTCTCATGTGGAATCCACCAAATGATCCAGGGGATCGATTGCCCCCGCAGGATTTTTTTGAATAGTTCACGTTGGAATCTATAAACTCCACTGTTGAGCATAGTAACTGTATTACTAGTGAGTAGTTTGACAGATTCATTATTAGCTCCTGCCGTGACTTCGTGGTTCAGTTGGTAGAGCGCTTTCTGCGTTGAGGCATGATGTTCCTGTCGCTGGTTCGAATCGAGCCGAAGCCCCGAGTTTTCACAATTGGGTCTCATCTAAAACCACAAATCTGCCAAACAACCTATTAGTGATATCTTTAGAGTTGGTAATTCACAGAACACACGTTTGTATTTATAATTTGAGACTACTCAACTAATTTTCAAGTTTTGACAAGTAAGAGTAAAACCCCGGCTCACATGGCAAAATATATGGTGTCCAACTGTACGCAGTGATTACATAGATGACACATTCATTAATGTTTGAGACGGTCACCATTACATACAAAACACGGCTCAAAATCTTTCCAAACACAAATATACGAGATGCGTGTTGGAAAATCCTGTCCTACTTACTGGGTTTATTCATCCAACAGAGCATGTCTGTCCTCCATACTGCACTAAAAATTTAGCAGTCTTAATAGTAAACGATTCAAACAGCTACAGACAACACTCCGCTGTTGTTTTCACTGACTGACAAGCAATTGCTGCAGCACCTCAACATAACGGACACTCGCGTTATCATCTGTAACCGAATACCCTCAACACGTTATAAAGCAAATCGTGCGAATTTTTCAACAGTGAGCTAACGTTCGATCTGCTTAAGCTGCAGATTGCCTGGAATGGCACTGGCGCTATAAGTCATATTTGAAAATCTGTTACTCCCTTTAGTGGACCAATACCATTTGAAATGATCCCAACTAACTTGAATCAGCTGGAAATTTTCTTCATGCTCGAACCACTTCTTCTTCATTGCTGCTTTTAACCTTCGAGACACCTAACGCGTACACTCTACTTGACGAAATGTTGTCGAACGAGTCGCCCCAACGCGACCACACTAACGCTGAAAGTGGTTGTTATCTCATTCACATTCAGCTGTGGGCGTCTTTTAATTGCCTCTTCTATATTGTTGATGGGTTCCACGGAGATCGGCTCTATCAATCATCTTAAATTGGTTGATCCCCAATGGATCTCCTTTCCTGCCATAAAGTAGCAGCCCAAAAATCGACCATGGAATGTGCAGGGCAGCTTCATTTGTGTACATACAACAGGTTCTAGGGGAATCCCCGTGACTCTAACTTTTCCACTGAGAGTTCTACTTTGCACCATGTATTTTCTTCAGTCATTATAAAATGTATGTACAAGAAAAACTACGAAATGTTAACGAAACCCTCAAGCGCTTTCAGAGGTTAGAAAAACGTACCACTGCAACTACAGTATGGAATTTTTAAACCGCAGATACCATTATGTTCGGACGCTCCGTAATGTCTTTGTGCAGTTGACGTGACCTGGTATGAACGGATGTTAAAGTACACGTGCATTGAATAATTTTCTAGCTGTTGAACACTTCCGTCTATCAATTAGTGAGTCCGATTTTGTTTTAGTATATAGTTTAGATAAAGTAAATTTTATGGTTTCCGAAAACTGAATGAATTAATGCTATGTCATCTATATTACACAGAAACCGTCTGCTGAAAGAACGTGCTAAACGCGTGGCGGAAGAGCGTTCTGGACTAACAACAGACGATGATGCAGCCAGTGAAATGAAAACCGGCCGTCACTGGACACGAACGGAACGCCGTAAACAGGCAGGAAAATCACGCATAGATCGGAAAAAGCGTCAACCTCCAGTTGCATCAACGAATATCAAGGCCAGTGCAACAACTGACACACAAAATAAACAAAACCTTGGCTTGATAAATGGTCTGGTGACCATGACAACTGTTTAGCTTCTGCGTTCAGATTTCTTAAAACAGCCGGAACTTGATTCTTTTTGTGTACAGTCAGTTTTCTTCGATAGGATTTCGGATATGCTCCTTTATTTAAAAGATAAGATGATCTTTTTCATTTGAGTTCACTTGTACGTTTCATTAGTACTTGAAACTTTTATTTCATGAAAGTCTCCACCTAAATCATTCACCACATATAAAGTTGAGATACAATATTAACGGTTTCCCTTCTACATTTAGATCTGATCAGTCCTAATAAATTGAACCTATTCCACCGTAGTTAGTGTCTGTCACACCGCAACTCTATACAAACCTGTGGTCCCGTGCCGTGAGCTATATTTCATACAGTGGATCTCGATAGTAGCACTAAATTAGTCTAATAAAGATAAAACAAAATATGACTAGTACGCTTTCTTGTAACCAAGAGAAGTCGCAAAAGTATTCAAAATGGATATTCGAAAGGGATGGTGTAGTGGCCAACAGATGGTCACGGTCTGTCCACTTTAGGATGCGTAAAATGCTTCCGAAAACGTTACTTCATATCGTAAATAGAGTTGTGAGAATGTTCCTCAATGGCTGTATTTTCAATTCCCGCGTCTTTAACGTAATTATAAGGGGAATTATATTGTTTGTCTCCCGTCCGCATTAAATGATACCCAAACAGCTGATAGTGGTATACTGTACTGATCATCTGAGGGTTTCACTGGCCCGTTAGTGGTGTGGTGTATGAAGTGACTTCAAAACGGACGGTTGCATATTACATTTTGATTACTTAGAGCGTTCGCACGGATGATGTAGTCAGACTGTTTGTTTCCCGGTTATGTCTACCAATATATTGAGATGATATGCACTGTAATGTATATCATGCTAAACAAACGTCCCATTAAACGCATGCATGAAATGTCTTCAATTTCCCAAAAGATGTCCTCCTTGTTGGTGTCATCTTACATGTGACAGGAGATCAGTGTAAATGAAATGCCCATCTCAACTTCTTATCACGTTCGAACAATTCTCAGTATTGAAGAGATCTGGTGGTGGTGACGACAAACATAATTATTCCCACAAAACTCAACCAGACTACGAAAGCAACATATAGAATCATTGTGTTATCTTAACCGAAATTATAATCACTAGTTAAGGTTCGGGGATTTGGGATTTTTCAAAGTTGAATGCCACCCCCACTTGGTCGCAATCTTTGCGTTCAGATAAGCCTGTCGGCTAGCCCACTTCAAAAGGAAACACTAGACTCGAGTTTCGCTCTCACTGAAGTAACCTAAATCCCCGAACCTTCATTACTTATACAAACCATGATCAGTTGGTTCAATGAAGACAGTAACCTCAACCCAACTGAAAAGTCCTCATCACGGGGTTATCGATTGAATAGAACAGAGTGAGTCTGTTCATTCTCCTTTTGAAATGATCGGGCAAGCGGAACACTGTTCACACAAGGTTGTGGTTGGGCGTTTGAATTTGATTATTCAGTCATGCCTATTGTGAGTTGCCGGTGTTGTGACTAACACGCTAGTCTCGCAAGCACGAGTGTCAGAGTGCAAACTCTGATCCGGACAAGGATATGCACTACTGATGAGCTCCAGTAAGAGCAAAACTCGATTCTAGTGTTTCCTTTTGAAGTGAGATAGCCGAAAGGCTTATCTGAATGCGAAGAGTGCTACCAGGTGTGAGTGGCGTTCAATTTTAAAATTAAAATCCACGAAAGCAGGGTGAAACTCGTTCCCATTGCAAATACTCTTCTATAACCTGAGGGAAAATATATTAGTCATTTGAGTGGTCGAAGGGCCAAATCGAAATATGAGGGTCAAAAAGTCCACAACCTTTATGGAAATATTGTCGGAAGTATTCAAGGAAATCGTTGGGTCAAGCCCAAATGTTCGATTGTAGAGCCTGCACACTTGAACGTTATCCAACCATCGAGGAAACGTCACCATAAACGCCACGTAGTTTACTGAAGTCCCCATCCTGCGAAAATCCATAGATCAAATCCGTACATAGAGTATCTGGTATCTTACAGATTGAGCTCTAGGCAAGTGCGTTAACAGACGCAACACCACCTGTTTGGCATGTAAACGATGGCTGATAAGCAAGGAAAAACCATAGTTGTAGACGCTATTAAAGTAGCAGTCGGCGTTAAGTGTTTGACGACGGTCGTCCGATCGATAGAAAGTCGGATGAGACTGGTGTACCAAACGATCAAGTGAATGGTTGTCCACTTACTCGAAAGAACTCACAACCAGACACTCATTTCTTCAGACCACGTGAACTCGTGATTTGCAACAGGTGTCGCAAGAATTAAGTTGCTAAACAGGACAAATACCAACTCACTAAACACGTCGCACACTTCTGCATTCACTTTTCCGTCCTTTAAAGGACTCCGTCCTACGAACACAAATAACACCGACATCCTCCATCTACCTTTTCAGGCACACTTGGAACTGTCAGAAAGTGTGAAATTCACGAGTTTTGAAACAGCCTTGAATGCTGCAATATAATTCATGTCCCAAAAATGAAAGTGCCGCCATTTAGTAATATGATAAACAATTTCTGCATTCTCCTGTATATTGATATACAAATTATTTCTGCATTTCAGCGTTATTTCTGCAAATCAATATCAGCCATACTGTAACAGGCAAGCCAGACGTTCGGGCTTCGTGTACCTGTTACGCTCGTAAACCAACTTTTGAGCAACACTGAGACACCGGGAACAGCGTTCTTCTGAAGTGAAGGTCCCAACAATAGTCCTGCGAAAGGAAACAACATAAACAAGGGTCCAATAAGACATGTACACGAGTTACAAAGTCAGAAACCAAAATGTAGCCAACGAAACGGCAGCACACTGTGTTACAATACAGAGATTCGGACACAACACACATTCAGGTCGTTTTCACTTATCGTCCAGTTAAAACAAACATACACACCTTCCTAATACGCATATCGGTGATTTTCATTTCTGCACTAAATACCGAGGTGAAAAAGCGAAATAAGTGGTAAAAAATAATTT